TGACATTGCCAAGCTATCTGAAAGGTTAACAGACTCAGTCTTTCATATCTAGTGTATATTCTTTTTTATTCACAGCTAAGAACATTTGATGAAAATGTTTAATTGTTATCATGCTGTTCATTTGTGAATGAATTTCATTTCAAGAGCCAATCCACTTTACATCTAAGGCAAATGGCAAACCAATATTTCAAATGTTGTCATGTTATTGACTAAAAAAATGAAAATATCAAATAATGTCCATGTTTTCTGATTTTGCATTGCTCTATTATGTGAAACTGTGAAGTATATATCCCATGGTGAAACTATGATTCCGGAATGCTGATTGTTTTTTGTTGGATTTGCAGCCTCAAATGCATGTTTAATAGCCCTCAGTTCAAGGAGAATTTGTCTTCCTTTCAGCAACTGCTTTCAGAAGGGGTTTTTGATTCTGAAGATTGCAAGCTTTTGAAAAAGCATGTGTTGTTTAGTTATACAAAATCCCATTGGGTGGAAAGCTATAATCAACTCAAGGTTTGATCTCTCAAAATTCCATTATTAAATGGAGATATTTGGCTTTACAGCTGGGAAAAAATTACCTTAGTGTTGCTACTTATTAGCATAACTTCAGCTGCAGAAGTGTAGAAGTAGTACTGGAGAGTCTCTTGTTGCAAAAGGACCAAATCCAATTGTATCAAATACTCTGGTAAACGTCAGCAGATTTTGGGAAGGCCAAAGTCAACATTTTCCAGGTTAATCAAAAAACTCCATTAGAGAGAAATATGTTCTGAAATAAATTGTTGATTATATGAAGCTAATAAGCTTCTAATGATGCAAAATAGAAAGAACTGTGTAAATGTTAAAAATATTAAAAGTGTAGAAAGCTACTAAAAATGGTGTTCCACAATTTGAAGGATTTTTATAGCTTTCTATTTCAATGTATGCTTCTTCTGCATTCTATGTTTTGGAAAAAAAAAGAACGCACCCTAAGGGTTTCTTGCAATATGTTTTCCATTCTTTCTTAGTCATATTTTGTTGGGCTTCCTGTGGTCAAAAATAAAAATGTCATGCATGGGGGATGGAGTATGAGCATTTCATCATGTAATCATGAATTGAAGAGCAACTAAGCATTAGAAACATCACTGAAATGGCATTAATTGTGCATACGATCTTATTGGTGCTTAGATAAATCTTATTTTCATTTCCACCCGCCTTGTAAATTTTTATGGAACTGTACTTAAAATACATTTTATCCATTTCAGGAACGAAGACTACAATGAAAAGTCCAAAAAGGGTGAATATGAAAGGTAGCTACGAAAACAAAGAGATCATAGACAATGATGTCTCTTGCTTCAGTCCGAGAAGCCTATTTGCGTTGCCTCCTGATGGTAGCTCCCTCATGTTGGATTCTCTTAATTTTATTGATGAAAGCTCTGATCAGGATTTGCTGCTGGATGTGCCATCCAACAGCTCGTTTCCACAGGCTGAGCTTCTTCACCCAAATTTAAGTTTTGGGTCACAGGCAAGCACTAGTAGTAGTTCTGCATACCCACAACATCTCCGCCCTTAACAGTGTCTTGCTAGGGCTATGCGAGTTTGCCTTCAGCTAAATCCCATGAGTGGGGTCCTCATATTTTGCATGCCAAGGACAACATAGAATGTGAATGACCGCTCTTTCTTCCCTTGACCTCTATGAACTTTGCAATGCAAGAAATATTATCTGGGTGGGTTTATTTTTGTATAGGTCAACAACAGGTTGTAATATATAGCTGAAAAATGCAGCAGAGGTGGTAATTTTTAAGAGATTGATATGAATATATGGTTTTTTATAGCTTTGCAAGTAAACTTTATTAGGCCTTTAACTGGCTGGTTTTTATTCCAGCGGATTTTGCCTTGCAAAGGGAAAAAAAACTAGGAAAACTAAATTTGACTTTTAGTGGAGTATATGGGAAAGAAATAGATTATCTTTTTCGATAATCATTGAAATAACAAATGGCTAGTTTTGATGGTAGAGCATCGATGTAGATACAGGTTTCTTTAGTGCGATGAAGATGGAAACTAAGAGGGAAGGATTGAATGCTAGATCTTTCGTCCCATTGAGTTTTGACCTTGTTTTTTGCTCCCTCCTTCCTTCCCAACTGTTTCTTGTGTCATGTCTTCAGGGAGTGACTGGAGCAGGCAAAATTTGGACGTATTAGGAAAATTGATTCCATATTGATGTCGGGTTTCAGAGTGCTTTAGGAGTTGTCCTCCTAACAGTCTGTAAAATTGGAAACAAAGTTCTTGCAGTATCCAATGAAGTTTCCTTTTGTTGTCAATGGCCTTCAAATTCAAGATTTCAAATTCAATATTTTTTTTGGTTTTTCCTTTGCTATATTACTGGGGGTAGAACATTGCTGTAAGTAGCTTTTACAAAAGTTATTAATTAGGTGAATGTACACCAATCATTAACACACTTTCTAAATCTAATGAAAGAGAAGTCACATTTTTTTTTTTTAATAAAGAAACCCTGTGAATTGAAAAGATAGCAGGGATGCAATAGGAAATAATGATTTTATTAGTATGTTGAAAATTTTTATGGAAGCTCAGTTGGGAAATTGATGGAATTATATAGGTGGATTATTCACATTATATTTATATATTTTAATTGAAACAATTAGCTTCCCAATGTTCATATAGCATCAATGGTTTTATTTATTTACATTACATTGTTTAACTGCATAAATTCATGAATTAAAATTATGGTAAATTAGTAATAATTTAATCATAAATCTAATTTTTAAACTTATAAAAAACTTAAAATTCAATTTTTTTTCTTGAACAATTTTTGAAGAAAAAAGAGTCTCTTGATCTTTTTATAAGAGAATTAACTTCAATTTTTCCGTTAAAAATTCGTTTAATATGGTTATCAAAACTTTTTTGTTTTTACGTTGTCAAAAGTAAATCTTTCACGAAAGTTGTCGATTGAGTTTTAAAGAAACAAATTTTGTTAATTGTTCTGAGTTATTCGGAATCGCTTACTTTTCATTCAAAATTTGAATCCTTTGTACTAAAATACTTTGGTAACTCAACTTCTTAATATTGAATCAAGTATTCAAAAGTAATAAAAATAACACTTGGATATTTTACATGATCAAATTTTACACAAACTTTAAATTCGTTGTTAAATATAGCGATGACAACAGAATGAAAACTTGATAAGCGTGAGAGCTTGAACACCCTCCATAAATATTGAATTCTCAACTCAATACAGAGAGAGTGGTATGAAAATAAAGGGAAAAAAAATATCTGAGATTAAGAAGAGAGATATTTATATATTCTTGATAAACATCAACCAGGGATATATGAACATGTAGGGACAGCAATGACCTAATCTGGGATGTGAGGGATATTTCTAAAGGAAACCATTTTATCACCTTCCAGCATCAACTATATTATATATATATATATATGTATATATATAAAGAAAAAGGAAAATCTTGTCATGTCCTTTAAAGGACAGACAATTCCAAAATTAAAGAAGTTGGCATCTTGATTCTTGCATAACCAAAAGCTGGGATAGCATGCAAATTTTTTCTTTCATCAAAGCAGTCAGCAGCCAGCAACCAGCCAACATTTCCTTATATATATTTATATATGTACGTATGTATATATGCAGAATCATACAGTGACTAGAAATTTTTACTACTATATTATTACTACCTTTTATATTTCCATGATTCAGAAATGGTGTTTCATTTTTTCTTTCTTAGTTAAAGACTCGCACTATTACTGTTGACAATCAGATAGATTCAAGTGAAGAATCATAGTTCTGTCATTGATAGTACATTTTTAGAACAAACAAATTCTAAATCCAATATAATTTACTTGTAAATCTGTAATTTTATACTTAAGGTATGAATTTGTAACATTCCGACTCCGAAAATTAGGTTCGGAATGGAAAATTTTAATTTTATAAATATTAATAATGCATAAATTTTTATTTTTAATTATTTTTATTATCTTTTTATAGAATATATACATTTTGAACGTTTTTTAAAATAAATTTTAAAAGTTATGGCCAAACTGTAAATAAAAGAAAATATATTTGAAAGAGAAATTTAAAAATAAGGATCGAATTGCAAAAAAAAAAAAAAGGGGCCAACTGTAAATCAACAGCGCAACAAACTGTTGCATGCTGCGTGGCAACCACATCAAATGGGCTCCACACAAGAAGCCTACGGTAACAATCTGCGTGCTAGGAAAATCAGACGGCTCATGTCTACCCCTACATACGCGCGAATAGCTCAAATCAATTCCCCGAATGAGCTTCGATTGAACGACTCCTGTCGCCCCATGCGAACCTAAACAAACGGCTCAGATCGATTCTTTGAATAAACCTGATTTAATGGTTATCCGCACTCCACGTCGACCTAAACGAACAGCAGGATTAGGGGAATATAGGTATATATACATCAATCTAAACTAATGTCACCCCAAAACCTGACACCAGGTCACCGGAGAAGAAGAAGAAGGGCAGGTGGAAAGGAGCTCAGCCATCAGAGAAATGCCAGCACCACCATGCTGGAACCTTAAAATGCTTTGGTAAGCCCATAATTTTTATCCTTTCTTCCCATTTCTCATTTCTTAGCTGCCTAACACATTTTCAATGCAGGGTGACCGAGAGAAGTTGCAAATTGCGAGGGAGGGATGACGAAGCTATGCTGAGCTGCTGCACTGGAGAATTAAAACCACTGGTAAGACCAAAGTTTTTTCCTCCCTTCTTCGAAAAACACCTCCTAACCACGATTTAAACAAATTTTCATCAGGAACTAGCCAAAATCGGTTCGACTGAGAGGAGAAGCATCGGAGAAGGATAATCAAGCGGTGGAGTAGGAAGGCGATGCTGCGTCAGAACCCCAACCCAACCTCGGTGAGATTTTTTCCTTTTTTGTCATTCTTTACACATTTTCATACTGTTTTGATGTGCGTTTTTAAGTTTTATAAGAAAAACCTAAGAAATCCAAGAATCGAGAACCATCAGAACTGTAATGAAAAAGGTAGTGTCCTGAACATTGACCTATTATAAGAATCTCTCATTATTTTCTCATATTACGGTTAAATTAAAGTTAAATCAATAATAAATAGAAAATTATAAATAATTTGACGATTCCTTAATTAAATATAAGTTGCCAATAGAGTCATTAATTGATCTGTCCATGTTCGTCTTTGATTTATTGTATTGCCTATATGTCGTTTTTGCTTCTATTTTTATTTGATTTTAATTGCTTATTTATACTTCATTTTAATTGATATTTCATTTTTACTTTCTGTTTGTTGAAATCCCACCTTGAGTCATTGTTTCATTTTATTATTTATGTTATTACGACGTGCGATTCTCTTATCCTATTATGACATTTTAATCCGCTTTTATTTAATAATTTTATTCATTAAAAATTTTAAAGCATAAATTTAGCTTTTTTGTATTTTTGAAGTATAGGTCTTTATGGAAAGTATGTGTGTGTAAACTAATAATGTTGAATAAGAGAGCTTACCGGATGACATGAAAAAAAGTATATGGACTTGGTACATACGATGAACCCTACCGTGAATGTTATCATCAGCTATATGGGGTTGGAAAGTTTCATATTGGATGAGGTTGAGAGTTTATAAATTTCGCTCATACCGAACGGGGTATTGAGACAGTTTTTAATTATGACGCCCATTATTCGATGGGGTATGGGAACGACCAATTTAATTATAAAGAAAGTGTAAATATTCACGTATAGCGGGAATTCCTATGTACCCCCAGCAACACTTATAGAAAAAATTAAAATGATAGGATAGTGATTGATATGGTAAGAAATCTAATTTTGGGCGATAGTTAAGAGTCAAACGTTATATATTTATTGAAATATATACTATTTGTACTTAAATTGTATTCTGATGCATGGCACTCGAGAAGTTAGAGATTATAGGAGAAAATACTAACGTTTTTAGTAAAACGAGTAATGAATGCATTAGCATTCAGGTTTTATTAAAAATATGCTCCATCAGTAGTTTTATTTTTTTTGTGTTAGTGGTAAAACATTGACATTCTTACTGAGTTAGTGTAGCTCATCCATTTCTTATTAACTATTTCACATCAAGACGACCAACACCCAGATC